GTAAGCCGCAACAGGTCGCTGACCACCAATACCACCGGCAGCAGTAGCCTGCGGGCCGGTCTGGCCGTGGAAAATACCGACTTCAAGCACGCCGGTGATATCCCTGATCTTGCGAGCCAACTCACCAACGGCCCACACACCATCCTTGCCGTTACCATCCTGGCCAGCCTCGATATCCGCCTTGACCAGCAGGGGCTTGAAGGGAGCATCGATAAGGAAGAAGCCCTGATCGGTCTTGAGGGGACCTTGCTTGGCGGCCGCGGAGGCCCGAATGGCGGGGTTGACACTGCCGAGTTCTTGCAGCTTGGAGATAACGCGGTGAGCGGCGATCGGGGCGACCTCGATGGGGATTCCTTTCCAGTTTGTGAGGAGACGGGGCTGGAGTTTGCGGAAGTCTAAAATTGCGAGCGTTAGTTGGGGGGTATTATTATTATAGCAAAGAGGAAAGAAAAACCAAGGGAAAAACAGGGGAAAAAACAACAGCGTTGGCTGGTTGTAATTTCCAGCCATCACCCAACTCAAACCCCATAATTACAATGCAAAATGAAGATCATGTTAGATCTGATTGCGACTCACCTGCAACACAGATAAATTCCTTAGCCTGCATAGCGACGATCTTCTCCTGGAACAAGCATGCACCACCGCCCTTGATGCAGTTCAAATCCTCGTCGACCTCGTCCGCACCATCGAACGCCACATCGAGCACAGTGCCCAACGGAATGGAGTCGTACTCAACGGCAGCCAGCCCGGCGCTGATAATCAGCTGCTTAGACTGGTAACCGGTCGGGATGTACTTGGTGTTAGAGGTGTCGACCCCGAGGGCCTTGATGGCCTCGACGACGTACACGATCGTCGTACCACTGCCGATACCGACCCAGCGGGCATCCTTGGGGTAGTGGTTTGCGACAGCGACCTGTGCGGCGGCGCGCTTAGATTCTTCGACGGCGGACATGGTGGATTGGAGTCTTGGACTGAGGGTGCGAAAGAGTGTGGGGATGGTGGGGAGGGTAAGTTTACGGCAGAGGAAAAGAGGGGAGAAGGCTGATTGGATCATGGGAGTCCTCTCTATAGAGGCTCTTTAGAATGGTAGTGAGGAAAGGGAGAAAATATAGAGGATGAAATTCAGCATAAAATAGAATCTCCAGGGCTATAGTCTTAGCTTAGAAGTCTATAACGTCACATCACGGGGTTTAGCACTGTGGCCATTGCTTTTTCTATGAAATTCAGACCCAGACAGTCTACATTATTTTACACTATTCTACATTAATCAATGTTATATGCAATGGAGACACTAATATGTCAGAGAGTATGATCAGTCTCATATTGTATGAGGGGAAATATAACCTCAGATCGACTACCCAAATTGTATGTTGTATACTCTGTATACAAGGACCAGAATGTCACAATCTATTGCTTTTTTTATAGGATAGCAATGGATAAAGCAAAGAGAAAATACATATTTGAAAAATCCTCTAGCAGAATAGCTATCCCTGTTTATCTCTGCCAATTATCACCACATTTCCCTCAGGAACAACATTGACCTCCAGAATAAAAGACACAACAGATACAAACCATTGGAGGCTTCTATTCAGTGGATATGAGCAGGGACTAGGTATTGCAAATCGTCTTAACAGCGGGTAAAAACGCCTCTATATTATCAATTAGCTTATGCGTTTCCTTATATGGAAAAAGACCGTACTCTGAACAAAACTCGCGCCACACTTGTCATTCACGCAGCTTGCACCAGCATTTTCAATAACATCTTGGGCCAAGCAAATACAATCCCAGTCATTCTTGGTGCAGCTAGTTGCCTGAGCTATTGTGTCCAAGCAGGCAAAGGCACAACCAGGCAGCTCTCGCCCTAGGGCATGTGCGAGCCTAGCAGAGGCGAGGACCACAATGGCCAACTTCATTCTGGATAAGTCGGTCTGATGGAATAACTCAATTGATATAGAGACGAGGAGACTTCATACATGGTGAAATTGGGGCAATGAATGGTATAAATATTCCACGGGCTGTACTAAATAAAGCTCGGCTGAGGTTCTCTTTCAACTCCACCTCTGAGAGATACATCGATGTATAATGTAGCGTGCCTTACTATTGTTCTTTCCCGAAAGTGCTCTGTACATGTTGAGGATGTGTGGTAGATTCAATCTCCCAATTCCTATATTATTTCCACAAGAGTTGAACCGCGTGGGTTAAGTCCAATGTTCAGTCCCCAGGTTACTACAAATTTTCTAAGGGGCTGTAGAACAAAGAAATAGTCATCCGCGTGGGTTATAGTATAAGCTGCGACAGCCTCTTTAATAGAATTGTCAAAGGACTCGGTGTTGTTGCCACTAGAATTTTACAAACGACTGATTTATCTGCAATTCTAAAGTACAAACACCTTACTTTTCAGCGAACTACATGTAGGATATTAAACCCCTAGTTAACTAGTTAACTAACTATAACTAAAAGATCCATTGAGGCTCATGTTAGCCTGGATTATCAGGCCATATATGCGCTTACTAAAAACAGTCGCGCATCAACAAGTCAACATCCACGACTTCATCATTTGAGAAACTTACAGATTAAGGAGCAAACCCTGTAAGCAACACGAGAAGCATCACATAACAATAAACAGGCAATGATTTAAGCCCCAAAACAAAGCTCTATCTCCCCGTACTTGATATCCACCATGACGGATGCCTTCCCCGCCACCCTGACAGGGCCAACCTCCAAGGAGCGCAAATATGATCGCCAGCTCCGCCTGTGGGCAGCAACTGGCCAGCAAGCACTTGAGGACTCTCATGTTCTGCTAGTGAACTCTGATGGCCCTCTCGGCCAATACAACACCGGTGTATCCGGCGTTGCAGGCGTTGAAACACTCAAGAACCTTGTACTGCCTGGAATTGGTGGATTCACCATCGTGGACCCAGCAATAGTTACCGAGTCTGATCTGGGTGTGAACTTCTTCCTGGAAGAAGAGTCCCTGGGAAAGTCCCGTGCCGAGGAAACCTGCCGACTGCTGAAAGAACTGAATCCAGACGTGCAGGGACATTACTATCTCAAAGTATGATTCTCCATGTCCTAAAAGTAAATGACCGTTGACTGACTTGTGAAATAGCGCGCCGAGGAGCTTCTGGCTGACCCTAAATTCTTGCCCCAGTACAAGCTGGTGATTATTTCTGGCCCAATGAGACGCTCGACTCTGGTACCTCTGATCCAGGAGGCAAAGCAACTGGGTATCCCCGTGTTATACTTGCACTCAGTTGGGTTCTTTTCCACTTTCTCCGTGCAATTGCCGGCCGAATTCCCCATTGTTGAGACACACCCAGACCCAGAGTCAACCCAGGACCTGCGTCTGCTGAATCCCTGGCCTGAGCTTGTTGCCGCCGCAGCTAACTTGGATAACCTGGAAACCATGGATGACCATCAGCACGGCCATGTGCCCTATATACTTCTCCTACTTCACTTCCTGGAGCAATGGAAACAGTCCCATCAAGGCAACGCACCAAGTAACTACAAAGAGAAAACCGAGTTCAGGGAGTTTGTGCGGTCTCAGACACGCACTTCTAACCCAGAGGGCGGCGAAGAGAACTTTGACGAGGCAGTCGCTGCTGTACTGAAGACAATTTCCCCATTCAGCCTACGCAGCTCGATCCGGGAGATCTTCGACATGAATGAGTGTCAACAGCCGTCAGCATCATCGCAAGATTTCTGGGTCATCGCCTCAGCCATCAAAACCTTCCACGCATCTCACGGCGTCCTCCCCCTCCCAGGCTCCCTACCAGACATGAAAGCCCAGTCCGCAGACTACGTGTCACTACAAAACATCTACAAGGCCAAAGCACGACAAGACATCGAAGAAGTGACAGCAACAGTACGCCAGCTCGAATCCCAGCTCAAACGCCAAACCTCCGCAATCCCAGACCGCGACATCGAAGTATTCTGCAAGAACGCCGCACACATCAAAGTCGTGATCGGCCGCGATATCCCGCAGATAAGCATCGACAGCGACGCATCAACACTGAAAATCATTCGCAACGCGCTAAGTGACCCGGACACCCTGATCCCGATATTCATCGCGACGCAGATCCTCGACTCAGTTGTGGACGAGATCCAATCGAGCAGCCGTGAAGAAGAACGTTCTGTTGACGACGACGCGCTGTGGAATAGCCACACGGAACGCATCTTGGCTCTGCTGACTGCGGCCGATGGATCGGCTGTCTGTCAGGAGGCGCGCACGCAGATCGCCAGTGCTATCAAGGAACTGCGTCGGGCTGAGGGCGGCGAGTTGCATAATATCTCGTCGTTGACGGGGGGGTTGGTTGCGCAGGAGGCGTTGAAGGTGATTACTAGACAGTATGGCCCGCTTGATAATACTTGTGTCTTTGATGGGGCTAGAAGTAAGAGCGAGATGTATAGGCTGTGATGGGGGATGGGATTTGCTATGGACGTGCTGGATGATTGAATTGCATTATGCAACTCCATGTACTGGTCGAATTCGTGCAAATTTTACTCAGAGCCATGTTATGATTTATGATCCAGTGATATTGTGATTTATAGATCTCAATAAGTAGTATCCAACTATGTAAAAGCCTTGTTGCTTAAATGGCCCAGGAGATATGGATGTTCAAATTGGCGAGCTTGGGTCGTTCTTTCAGTGGGAATGCTGAGACATTTTCGTGTAGTATGGGATATGTAGATCTTCACTCCAATGTGTATGTAGCCAGACCGGGCCCAAAACGAGAGGGATCTTTTGAGGTGCGGCGACCAATGTAGGATATCTTCGCAAGAGCTCCAACAACCGCGGAGAGCATTTTCAGCTCTCATTTGTGATCCACCAACGAGCAGACATGATATGAGATGGATATATGGACCAGCCCATAGTCTGCCCATGGTCATTATGCAGAAACGACAGTTCCGTTGCAGGCCATTGCTGTCTTCGCCTTTGCATACGGTCTCCAGCGACGGAGCTGTAATAGGCCAAGGCCTGGATTGATAACCCGAGACTCTCAACGTTTTCGCGACTTCTGATTACGATTCCACTTAGGGCCCTGAGGTCCACCCTTGTTCTCATAAAGCTTCTCCTTCCCGAACACCGAATCAGCAACTCGCAAGTAACTGACCACACCCTGATCAACGACAGCCATGACGACATTGCGGTATCCATGTCGCAGTCTCATGTACATCATACGGTCCATTTTCTCCCGCGCGGGGGGGTCAAGTGGCGTGCTTTCGAGCAAAGCACCGAGTTGTGTCATAGTGGGCATGGTGGTTTGGTCGCGTGTGCTGACGACCGCGACGCGGAAGTCTGGAGTTGGAGGCGCAGACTTTTTGAAGGGAGTTGAGGGTTTGAAAACGTGGAACACAACGCGGAAGGGTGGTGTGGTATCAGCCGGGTGTCTTTCGGGCGCGGTGACTGGGTCGTACCAGGGAATGATGGCGAGCTTGCGGTATATATCCACTTAGCAATATTGTCAGTAAAGGGAACTAAGGTAATTACCGCGAAGGTAAATGTGTGACTCACTGTAATGACGGTGAATGCCAGTGCCGATGATAGGGCCAGTTGCCGTCGAGGCCGTCGAGCGAGGGTCATGGATCCAATTGAAAAGTGACCCAAGTATACCAGCCAGACCAGGGCCATGAAGCGTGGGTGGTGTTGTTTCAATAGCATCTGAGGCATCCACATCTTCCTTCTCGAGGTCATCGCACCATCCAGGAGCTCGAACGAGCGCATAGCCCAGACGTCTGAGACCAGTATAAACGGAGTACCGCTCAAGCGTTAGACCACCTCGGCCCATAAAGCATGCATATGCAGCCTGCAAGCTCATAGGAACGGAGAGGTCTTCTTCTCCTGGTCCCGCGGGGGACCCAGATGGGCTAGGCCATCTGATATCCAGACTTCCTCGCTCAATAAGATATAAGGCTTCCTCTGGCAACAACCAGACACGGCTTAACGAGTCTGCCTGGCCCATTGTCTTGAAGAACTGGCCTTTGGGGTTGGGCACGTAGACACATGCGTCGGGGGATATCCTGGCTGAATTGGGCAAAGGCCTCGGGGGGTTGGGAGTAGACTCCGAGCTCTTTTCGTCTTCTCTGCCAGTTTTCGGTGTCGCGCGATCGGTTTTAACTGGAGGAACATAACCGTCCGGCGCGTAGAAAGCTACAACACGAGTTTTGGTATTGTGGAGACGGGGATATGAGAGCGCATTGTGCATGGCCCCCCGCGAAGCGGAGAGTACATCGGCTTGAAGTTCGGTCGGATTGGGTTCAAAGTCCTTTTCACCGCGGCGCGGGATACCGGGGGATGCATCGGCAAAGCTGTAGAGAGATTGGAGGTAAGCAATGGTAATCGAAGAAGCGATCAAGGACACTGGAGATTGGGTTCGCCATGCGTCAAGAGGAAGAGGCCGTGCTCATACAAATTCAAGTGGTTCAAGAAGCGGAAATCCTGCGTCTCGTCGGACAGGTCGACATCGGGCTCTGTTGAGGCATTTGCGGGTGCCTTAATGGCATCTTCGTCTACGTCCGCCATGTTGAATTGTTAGAGAATAAATTAGAGGGAATTTCGGAGTCAGAGTCGGGATCAGAAAAGCGCTTATCGATAAGCGGCCTTTTTCGGCAGAATAATATCTCCATGCGGGCCCCGGGAGTCTCTATGTTTATCACTCGCATGTCGCGAGATGGTATTATTATAGGGGCATATATAAGAGTATCTTATTAGGACTTAAAGCGACCAAATGCGACAGTCGCATTTATACAATAGAAATGGTTATATCGAAGTTCAAGCCGCAAGCATCTATTATCAACTGTTTTTCATGAAAGGTGCTGACCTAGCCTGCCGAGGTATAGTTCTCAAGCACATAATCAACGTCCTTGTCGCCGCGCCCTGAGAGATTGACTAGTATCCGTTCGGATGGAGGGCGCTGTGACGCCAATCGGATCGCAAAGGCTAATGCATGTGCGCTTTCCAACGCAGGAATTATACCCTCGAACTTTGACATCCGGAAGAATGCATTGACAGCTTCCTTGTCTGAAGCTCCTGCGATAAATAGCCGGCCGGCTTCATGAAGCATCGCAATCTCCGGGCCAACGCCAGGGTATGCTAGCCCTGATGCTACGGATGAGACACTGGCAGGTGTACCGTCATCTTTCTGAATCACAATCGATCGAGCGCCATGCAATGTGCCCAGTCGTCCATATGATAGCGTTGCCGCATGCTGGCCTTGTTGGCCTGGCTCATCAGACGTACCAAGAGCCTCCACCGCATGTAAAACAACGGCCGGTTCATCGATAAAGCCCGTGTATATTCCCATCGCATTGGAACCACCAGCAACGCAGGCAACCACATGCTCAGGCAGGCTTCCATTCATGGAAACGAATTGCTCGCGCGCTTCCCGACCAACTACACCTTGGAAGTCGCGAACAATCATTGGGAAAGGGTGTGGACCAATAGCCGAGCCGATTGCATAAAGCGCGTGTTCGTGCTGCTCGACGTACGCGTTGAATGCAGAATCACTAGCATCTTTAAGAGCAGACTGACCAGTCGCTACTGACACCACGCGCGCGCCGAGTAGCTGCATCTTACCAACATTCGAGCTCTGTTTGCCAACATCAACTTCTCCCATGTGAACTTCGCATTCGAGGCCAAAATAGGCAGCTGCAGTTGCCAGTGCGACGCCATGCTGGCCGGCCCCCGTCTCGGCAATTAGTTTCTTCTTACCCATTCGTTTGGCGAGTAGGGCGAAGCCAACGCAATGATTGATCTTGTGTGCGCCTGTGTGGTTTAAATCCTCCCTTTTGATGAAGATTTGAGCGCCTCCGACTTGGTTTGAAATATGTTCGAGGTAGTGTATTGGGGTCGGCCGCCCCTGAAGTCCAACCCGCACCTTACTCAGAGCGTCCTGGAATTCTGGCGATTGGTGAAGCTCCTGATAGCTGCTGGCCAATTCCAGCAGCGCAGATCGAAGTTCTTCCGGATAATGGTTGCCACCATACCGACCAAAATACCCTTCAGCATTGGGGCTGCTCTGGAAATGAGAATTCATATCTGACATCTTGTCCAACTTTGTCACTGAGCAGCAGGAAATTGTAACTTATGAAGCGCAGGCTGTCAAAATAACGGAATTGGACGTAGTAATCGTACTTGGACCTGATGGGACATCAGCATTGAGATCTATATTGATCACTAACTGTGACATGTGGATGAAATTCTTACGAGGTTTTCCGAGGTCTAAATTAGGTGATCAAATAAAAGTCTGTTGGTAGGTTTCAGGAGCCCTATTGGGGGATCTTATATCTTGTACCTTCGAGGAAATGGCCCCCGGGGAGCCGTCGGGGGGCCGTTTAAGGTTGTACACCCCGACCCGACCTTCCGACCCGCTTCAGTCCGATCCGCCATAAGCCCATCGAGCTATATGGGCCGCTTCGGTTCTCTATATGACATATTTGGGAGTCGTGTGAGGTTCCTACGCTTCGTATCCATACTCTCGCCTATGGATGTTCCCAAGCTCATCGTCGTTCAAGTGTTTATATTTGATTGTTCACCTATCAAATCCTATCAAAGAGCATTACTGCTGCCTCTGCCTCTGCCTCTCAAATATGACTAGCCTATATATTGCAGTTCTCTATTGCTTTTCCAACATCACAACTTGACTGCCATAGTCACCCTTGAAGGGGAATTGCAGACCAATGTTCATCAAGGTTCCACCGGAGTAAACCACACCGTCGTCAATCTTATAGGAAGCTTGTGCATCCAATCCCTGCAACCTAACACGCGGCCATGAATGATCAATATTCGGAGAGAGCTGGAAGACAAACAACACAGCCTTCTGACCATCCTCAGCGATGAACAAAACAGCAGGCCAATTCGAATCCTCTGGAAGGCTCAAGCGCCACATATCACCAGTAAGAACAATGGGGTTCACCTTCTCAGCGAGAGCAATAAGCCCCGGCAGAGCGGCTTTCTCCTCTTCAGGCATCTCAGCCGGGTTGAGTTCCAAGCCAAACGAGCCGCCCATCATTGCCACATGTCCGCGGAACACCACGGGGACTGTGCGGCCGGTCTGTTGGTTCGGCACTTCGGATAGGTGAGCACCCATTGCGCTGGGCGGATAAACGAGCGAAGTACCAAGCTGGATGGAGATGCGGTCAACTGCGTCTGTGTTGTCCGAAGTCCAGACCTGCGGGAAGTACTGCAGAACACCTGGGTCGAAACGGCCTCCACCCGAGGCACAACCCTCCCAGAGAACATCGGGGAATTGGGTTGTGAGTTCATCGAAAACGCGGTACATTCCGAGCATGTAGGCGTGGTTTGTGGATGGGGAAGGCATCTCATGAATGCCTCTGTTGTTGTCCCACTTGACGTAAGTAATATCTGCACTCTTGAGGACGTCTGAGACGGACTTGATGATATAGTCTTGGACTTCAGGAAGAGCGAGGTTCAGCACAAGCTGGTTGCGTCTTTGGGTGCGAGGATAGGGTCCGGCGTGTAAGACCCAGTCCGGGTGCTCGTTATACAGAGTCGAATTCGGACTGACCATTTCCGGCTCGAACCAGATACCGAAGCGCAGCTTTTCTGACGAGTTCGCAACTTTCAGGTCCGTGATCTTCTTCACAATCGGCTCCAGACCATCTGGGAACCGGTCAGGGTTTGGGATCCAGTCACCCAGTCCCGCCTGGTCGGAGAGACGTGGGTATTCCTTGCCGAACCAGCCGTCATCCAGAACGAAGAGCTTGGCGCCTACTTCAGCGGCTTCCTTTGCCAAATCGTAGATGGTGCTCTGGTTGTAAGTGAAAACCAGTCCTTCCCAACTGTTCAGCAATGTAGGACGATCACTAGTGGCAAACTTGCTCTTGATGAGATGGTTGCGGTACAAGCGATGCAAGGAGCGTGACATTCCACCGAGGCCATCCTTGGAGTATACCGAGACACACTCCGGGGAGGTAAGAGTCTCCCCGGGGGGCAGAGTCCACGAGAGCTGGCCAGGGTTGAAACCCAGAAGAGCACGCGTGAAGCCCTGTGAACCTTTCTCGACGCTCACGGAGAATGAACCTGTGTATACAAGCGAGAACCCCCATACCTCTCCATGAGACTCGGTGGCGGAGGGCTCTGCCAAAGCTAAGAAAGGATTATGCTGGTGAGAGGAGTAGCCAGTGGAACTTCCAAAGCTTTGGATACCGTATGTGATCCTTTCTCTCTCTCGGTGCGCTTCTCTTGCCCAATCACCACGAAGGCTAATCATGTCCAACTCTTCAAACGGCAAATCCACGCTCAGACTGGCTAGAGACTCAATTGTGATATTTTCCTTTCCATGATTCGTAACATTCACGCTGCGCACAATGGCATCATGCTTAGGGAAAATCGAGTACGAGAGGTCCGCGCCCACATCGCTGTACTTGTCATATAAACTGATGACCAAGGTGCTAACATCTTCTTCTGTGCCAAACGTGCTTGGCAACCCAGGCAGAGCAGGCTTGCCTGGGATAAGCTTGTGCGATTTGTACTGGAATTCAGACACGGTATACCCTGCTGACTGACGAATGCGAATGGCAGGGATGCGGAAATCCCCTCGACCTTGGTCTGGGAACTCACGACGAACACGTCCGATATGACTATCCCAGCCATTGATCTCGCCTACAGCTTCCAGAGGGATCTCAGCTCCGACGGGGCCGCCGAAGTGGTCTCCTAGGAGGTCACCAGTGGCGTTGTCCACATGAATGCGATACGAGACATTTTCTCCATTGAGGGCAAAGAAAGTGCCATCTGCCACAATTGCTATAAAGTATAAGGCCAGGTTTGAAAATGGAAAAGAACAGAGGCAGACTCACGCTTTGTACTTGTTTCCTTGGCCATAACGGCGGAGGAATATGCAAGGAGACTAAGGCCAGTGGCCACAACACTCCTTGATAAGTAGACCATTTTAGCTGTGCTTTCAATGAATCAATCCAGAATCTGGGAAGCCCGTACCTTTTTATATCTTTCACCCCGGTGGAGAGGTTGCACCAAAGAGGTATTGGCTATGTAAATCTCAAAAATCAAGTAGAACAGGCCTCGTTCGCAATAAACTTCTAGTCTGAACTATAACTAGTGAAATGCCGATCAACAAAACTTCGGCGATACTCATGGTATATGTAGAAGCTGGGGTTTACTGTTGTGGGGTCAAAATGCGGAGGAAACCCCGGGGATACTCCGTGCTGCGCCGTGTCGCAGGCGGTTTTGAACGTCCCTCATTGGCTTTGGATTTTTCAATTCCGACGCAGTGTGCTAACTCCTCAATCTCGTCAATGATCTAGCCAGTGACTTTCTTTATTTGGAAGGAGAATGAGACTAGCAAAGGCCTGTTCAATATGCCGGTGAGTAATTCATCCCCCCCCACCAAACCCCATACTCATCTGCCATAAGTGAACGTCGTCGAAAATGCGAAATCCCGGCACCCGGTCGCTCGTGTGTCTATTGCTCTGCCCGAAGTCTAGCATGTACTCGGAAACAGCTCTCCGTGCCGAAAAAACCTTCTACAACAGAAGAAAAAACCGTCGGGACTGTGTCTCTACCAGAAAAATGCAATTTACCAGATCAAGAACTCTGCACTGAACTGGTGAAGCTGTATTTTGATTATGTGCATGATAAATTTCATTCTCTCTTCCATCGGCCGAGTCTGATGGAAGATATACGTCGGGGTCAAGCGCCCGAGAATTTAATATACGGGATGCTCGCATTATCGGCACGGTATGCCTCTTCTACTCGGCCCGAGTGAAACTAAAACTGACTCGGGTAGATTTTCAAAACACTCTTTCTTTGCCGGAACAAATCCTCGGGAAAGAGGGAAAGACTATGCCAAAAGATGTGAGCAATTACTCAACTTGAATGATGTCTCGTTGACAACAATCCAAGTTTGTGTTTTGCTCGGCGCCATTGCTGTAGTAGATGGAAGAAATCCTGCCTCGGAGACTATCTACTACTCAATTGCATGTCGTATTGCCCAACTCCTTGATCTCCCAAACTGTGATGCCGCAAGTCGTGTGGAAAAAGAAGTAAACATAAGAGGTTCGTAACGAACCACTCGAAAATACCCAACACTCTAACATCCAACACAGTATGGTGGACGCTCTGCATGATAGACGTCTGGTCCTCAACAGGAGTCCGACTCCCACGTCTAATGAACCCCCAACCAAACATCCCCCTCCCAATGAACGAAGCAACCTTCCTCGCCATGACCCGCACCGAAGGTTTCACAGTATCAATCTCAATCGACCGCACTTCATCTCTCCTAGCACAGATGGTCCTCCTAAATCGAATCCTCTCAGAAATCAACGATTTCAACACCAAAGCCGCCACAACAACCCTCGGCGAAGAATACATCATGACAACCATCTCAACTCTCTCCGCAGACCTCTCCACCTGGCTCAGAAACCTACCCGCACACATGCACGACACACCCTCCAACCTTCAAGCCTACGCATCCCAGGGCCAAGGCCACCTCTTCGTAACCCTCTATCTAGGCTACTACAACTACGGCCAAATGCTGTTCTACCGCTTCCTGCACGAAGACATCGGAGGCTACACACCACACACGCACTTCTACGCACAGCAATGCAAAGAGCACGCCGTTCAGCTCTGCGAGATGATCTACCGGTCCGAGGAAGTGCCCGGGTGCGCCGTGCTGTACAATATGGTCGGACATGTACTTGTTATTGCATCGACTGTGCAGATCCATACGTTGCTTTTCGGTGATGAGGAGAGTGCTGTGAGAGCGAGGGCGAGACTCGAAAGGAATTTTGTTATTCTGACTAAACTGCGTGCGCTGTGGCCTACACTTGATGTTTGTATGGAGCGGTTACAGGCTTTTCATCGGGCTTGTAGGAGCTCGGTTGATACTAGTTTTTGTATGGATGAGTGGATGGTGAGGTTTTTGGTTGAGTTTGCTAATCCGGTAAGTGATAAGGATGGGGGTGCGGGTGTGGAGGTGCCTTGGGCTTTGGAGGATATTGGGATTTGTTAGGTATCTGCTATCTATAGATGTAGCAATGATGTTGGTTTTTCACTGTGTTGAGGCCAAGAGATCATATAGATGAAACCAGGCGGTGACGAGAGCGGTCAATATATATATCCTGTGCACGGGGGTTTCATCCATGATATATATATGCCCCTCTAATTGAGCCAAGCACCAACTTTTCAAATACTAGGCATATTTGCTCCTGGATCATATCACATGGACGAAAGAAACCAAAATATCGTGGACTATAACGAAAGTTTGCGCAAGGTATATCGCCCAAGGAAACCACCAAATGCAGGAAATAACAAACAAGATTAGATATCAAACAGCCTTGAGAATGCCCTCAAGACCTTTGGACCCTCCTCAAGACAGTACCAAACCATACTTGAAATGTTGAAAGAATGTCTCCAGGATATTGAGAACGAAAGCCAAAAGCAAAGCGAAGCCCAGGTGGTTGACGCAAACATGCTCAGCATTGCCATGGGATTTTTAGAAATTGGAAAATAAGCTGCACATATACATATGTAATATGATAACTACGAATTGAGCGAGAGAGGTGGTTGAAAGCTGAAGCGAGAAATGAAAGCATGTATATATAGGAGATCAAAAAGGACCTCTATGGTCCAATACAAAAGGTACATCCGTCAGGGGTGGATTTGAATACCCTTTTCAATTGACTTTCTGGTTGTGTTTAAACGATATGTATCATTGGGCGTGGTTGAAGAGATTTTATGTTCCAAATGATAATATGCATAGGCAAGAGGATAGATGATTTCGGATTCCTAAATCCATATCCAGGGCACATGGATACAAATTGTATCGCCATTGGGACAGATGCATGACTGATCCAGCATGCGGAAATAATTACCAAATGGCCAAACATGACCAAATACACATATGCAGTGGGGAGACACTGGTCAGAAGTCAAGAGCCAGGGCAACACTCAACTTTCTCCAAATCTTTAAACAGGTAGCCCAAGCACCCCATCCCCGTTCTGTCCAGAGACAAATAAACAGCCACCTTTCAGGAATGTCATGCAACCAACTCCAAAATCTATGCAATCGTAAGACATGTCATGATATAGCGTGGTTGCGGAGGAGAGCCTCCAACCTCCGCACCCGCCGGGGCATCAAAAGTAACGGCAGCCGTCCCCGTTTGTGGGATTACCGTTTAGGAGCTCCGGTATCAAGACGGAGGGGGGATTTATTAAATAAGTTCATCATTGTTATCGTGAAGAGTTGGATCGTGTCCCATATCAGTCGATCAACGGTTTCTTCTGGTTGCCGACAATAGCGGCGCCTAGATGGCTGAGGGCGTTGTGGTCGTTTGGTCGTACAATTGCCGGAAGAGGTAGCATGGGGTTATCCGGGTTGACGTGGGCGGCGTCTCGTGCGGCTTGCTCGATTGCTTCCATTTCTTCTTTGCAGCCGGCGTGGTCGAGAGGGCAGACGACGATTGGTTGTCGAATGGTAATGTCTCTTGCGGAGGTTAAGTGGGCCTGTTGTGTGTGAGTGTTGGGGCAGATATACTATGGGAATAGGAAGAACGAACTCGAACTGTGAGGTAGTACTCGATTTTATATAGACTTGCTGTGGTTGTGAAGCCGCTCACACCGTACGTTGGAAATGCCGTCCTACTTCTTGGCAGGATTCCTTCTGCGTCGCGGAGGTCCTTGGCGGGGAATACCAACCCTAGGTTTGTTAAATAGCCCGATTGGGGCAGTTTGACACCGATAGTCTCTGTTTTCTTGGCCAGAACTTTGACTTTGCGCTGGGGCTCATCGCCTTCGTGGTTGTAGACGATTTCCTCATCGATGCCGATGGTGATCTTGCTGATGGTCACTTTACGCGCCTTACTCATCCAACTCTCGTTCGGCGACAGTTTGACATAGACGCTGACGGGATCGAGAGGACCGTAAGACCATCGTGGTAGTGAGATGGCTAATGTGACCAGATGATCTGATACGCGCTCCGCCGACTCCGGACGATTGTACATGCCGAATGTGGAGAGTGTGTCATAGCGCGCGATGGGGACGGGGAAGGTGTATTTGTGCTGCTGCTGCTGCCCTTGTTGGACCATCACCACCATCTCGTAATACGTTTCAGCGGTGCGACTCGGGAGCTGGACACTAGCTGGGGGTACACGGCGAGAGGCATCGCGGCCCCCACGACCAAATGGAATAAAAAGAACGAAGGGCAGATCCATAGATATTACTTCTTCGTATTCTCGACCGGCCGGACATCGAAATAGGAGCATCTCTTTGCCGACGATATCGGTGATCTCTTTCCGCGGCGGAGCCAGGCGCTTCTTTGTGAGGGAGTCGGCCGAAGGGTGAATTGTCTCGCGGCGGAGGAGGGAAATAGTGACGAGCGAGACGTTGACCGGAGCTGTGATGCCGGCGCAGGGTCTGATTTCCACTTTACCCTCAATTCGTGGCTTGGAGAGTCAGTCAATGGGGCCGCGTTGAGCAGGGGGCCAAACCGGCTTGTCGCATGTATCGCAGGGCGCTTACCATGGTCGCAGAAATTCCTGGGTATCCGATCAGAAAATTGCCATTTGCTGGGCCTGATACACGCACAAAGGCGGCCATCTCGAGTCAGCCGTGCCTGTCGCACCATAGATATGTGGCGGAGGTTGGTCGAGTTGTGGGGAATATGCGAGTGGACGGATTTGACACGGTTCATAAGGGTTCGACGATGGGTTGGGTAGAGTGTGTGAACGTATAGATGCCTTCAATAATGTGAGGCTAAAAGAGGTAAGTGCCCAACGGTCTAGATGTCTAGATGTTCCAGGTAGGGAGAAGTGAAGGAGCTGAGCTTCCCAAAGGTAGTGGGGAAAGGTGAACACTTAGCCCCCCAACAGCCACAATTTACTTGAGCCTCCGTTGGGTTTGGCTCTAAGATCCTATCAAATGGTCTAAAATATACTATATAATGTAAACTATATAAGATCTAACAGGTCTCAGATCTCTACATATGTACCCTAGACGTAATAATGCCTTATCAATACACGCCCAGTTTCCAACCCATGTCATCATCGTCATCGCACATTAAATTATGTATCTTGAATAGAATATATTAGTTGTAGGTACATACACAGTATGTGTATATATTTAGTAAGATATAGATCAAAACAAAATGCCCCAATAACCATGGACGAAATTCCGGACCTTCGGAAGATTTCCCAAAATTTGGTTGCCAGTGCAACCATCGCCTCCCTCTCCACTCAACTTCTACATATACCCGCACACCACTACTACAGCATTCTACAGCATTATGCCTCGTCGCGCAGCAAAAACCGGGTCGCAGTCGACACTGTCATTTGGAGCTCGGGGGCGAGTCACCAAACCAGTCACCGCACCATCTCATAAAGCCAAGGCCCTCGACTCAACTCCATCTGACAACTCTACCCCCGCCACCCCGGAGCCCCAGCAGCTCTCTGTTACCCCAAACGAACCCTCTAAGCCCCATGTCGCAGAGCTAGCGGTGCGACAGCAGGCCGCAGTCGAACACCAAGCTCCCCTATCTGAAGAGGACAAGCGGGCACTGAAGTTGAACAAGCAGGATATCTGGCGATACTGGCGGGCGCAAGAGCAGACCCGCAAGGCACCCAGTGGTAGGTCGAGTCTTCCCTGGGCGTTAGTATGAATCAAGAGGCTAAGTCCATTCGATAGCCCACCAGCAAGGCATGGATGTAGAGGAAAAGATTCTCCGTCATTTTGATCTTTCCAGCCAATATGGGGTATGTTGTCTGGGTCCGCAAGAGTTCTTTATCAAGAAGCCATCTAACATAATGTCCTTTTTTTCTCTCGTTAGCCCTGCGTTGGAATCGCTCGAGTCAAGCGTTGGAGACGGGCTCATCAGCTGAAGCTTAACCCGCCCATCGAAGTCCTAGCCGTTCTTCTCAAGGGGAAGAACACCAAGGAGCGAGCATATATTGATGAATTGTTATCCTGACATATCGTGATTTGAATTGGCGTTGACAGACATGCATGGATTGGGCGTTGGGATTAATGAGACATGAATGACATATGGGTACTCCATATTCCGAGGCTTCAAAAGGTTGTAAATTCAATGGAAGAATAACTTCCACTTTCACGCGAATCCGTCGAGACTTCCATGTGAGCTGACCGCGTCGGATTTACATTGTCTCAGGCAAATTGAACCCAGATGGCAATTTCCGCTTATAAGCCGTATACGTCTAATACGATAGAGAATGCCCGATCCTAGAGGCGTTGTCGATCCTCATTTTAAGTTGTCATCTAGAAAGGGTGTTCTCGGGTCAAGATGTCTATATTTATCTGAGATTAGAGATTTAGAAGACCAGGATGTGAAATCTCTTCGAATTCAGGTCCGTGTTATCCCCGGATTGAGACAATGGGTCTGTCTGGGGACCCCACGATATTGGATATTGGCGATATTTGCTTTTTCTCAACTTTTTCTCAACCTGAATCCTCTCTACTCCGTACTATAAGTCTATGAGGTACATACAGACTATGTATATTTTTTACCATCATGTCCACTACAAGGGTCTTTCGCCTCAGCATATAGTTAGTCATTGGAATGCAGTCTAAGCCTAATGTAGATGTCTCACCAGGCCAATGCGCCTTTTTTTTCTCATCGAGTGGCTGAGATCCCTCCAGGTATCCTGGTGTTAGTTTTGTTAATTAAATACTTCATACCTTTTCACTCTCTTTGCTATAAGTAGACCCCTTCAGACCGAAAGGGGACCTAGAGGCGACTTAGCGGCCGATAAGGTTAGGCTTTTGGTGAATATGGGCGAAGATATGAGATTTGTGTTCAATTGATTTTTGTAATAAATTTTGAGATTGTGTAGTCCAAATGAATATACGGAGACAGGTGCCGAAATCCTAGGCCTAGCGTACCTAGATATACGGAAACTATTCCCTTCCCAATCCCTTCGATGCCCTTGCAAATCAGCACTGTGCCATATCTGTAGACGAAAATCCTGTGGCAAGTACATGTGATCGGTGCTTTTTGTTCCTTGATCTGGTTATTGACCCCAACGAATGAATACTAGTGTACTTGGCACTGTGTGTCAAAGACCAAGCATTTGGTCCAGTCTGCGTCTCGACTGGTCCCACCCCCGCTAAATGTCTCACTTGTATGTGGACCCTTTTTGAGTTCTCAGTCGGTCTGGATACCCTGGACCAAAATGATTCTCACATCTCGACTCTGTTGCCATATATGATCGCCGTATGCAGGTACAATAATCTCACCGAGTTATATCTCTCGGCCAACATCTAACCTTCTGTATTACGGGAATCAAATGACTATTAAGTCCAATGACACTCTAGAAGGGTCTAGGGTGTCTTTGAGGCTTTTGTTGAGAGTTACGTTGGACATCAATAAGCCTTATATCGGCTGACAGGGTTGATCATTGCCTCCTGAGTTTTGACCCTTTGATGCTATTATTCGAAGAACCAAGTGAAGCCTTGTGTTACCCCAAGCAATTTCACTCATATTACTATTATTGTTATATTAATTGTGCAGACAGCTCGGAGCAAGTCCTAATGTGGTATAGTTCGATACTACGCTCACCCTCGGGCCCTGCCGCGGCCTGCCGGGGTTCAATCTTCCCCGGATTTTCCTCCATACATGGGGTTTGCCACTTCATTTTCCTTTTTTTCAGTCATACACTTTTACAATATCCTGCATACGCTTTCTTTGTAGATTGGCCACAAGGCTCTTTGCAGGAATGCAATATGGAGACGCTGCACAACCAATGCTACATGTACTGCTACGTGTACTGCTACATGTACCACAACCTGTACTTCCATACTCCGCATACCGCGTCCATCGATGCCACTAAGAGTCTAGCTTGACATATCCTGACACAGTGGAAATTAATGTCAGTAACCGTCTGCCGTGTGACTGGCAAATAGAAGTACCAACAATTGCCACTGGTCCAACCTTTCCGGTGGCTTCTTCGTTCGTCCTAGTCTAGTCTCGACTTGGCAATGCGGGCATACGTACACCGTACGAGACCAATAGCACCAACCCCGGTCAAGACTCGCTTCAAAGCTCAGTCGGCTGCGGGAACCCAGGATCCGGCGTAAGCCCCCAGGCTTGGCTGTGCAATAAGCGTCCATTGTTTCAATCCGTGGTAATTACGATCTGATTCAACCGCGGCCTTGGCCTGCTTTTCGGTGGATTGCCTCCCATTAAGCATGCGGAGACATGTGATGGTCCCACGCAGTCTTTGGTGCAACCCTGCGGGTTTCTCCATGGAAGATGGGGGAGACTGGCAAAGCTTATAAAAAGGGCCTCACCCATCCAAGTCCAGACCTGCTTCTCAACTCATCCGCACTCGCTATACACACTTGACTGTCTTTTCCGGCACTTTAATAATACCTTTTTTTAGTCCAGCTATCATCAAGATGAAGTTCTCCACCACTCTGATTGCCTTCGTTGCCGCCGGCCTCGCCAGCGCCCAGCTGCCCGATGTGCCCTCCTGCTCGGTAAGGGCATTGATGCTTCACAAAAGGAATATGTCTGCTAACACTTACCTTTAGCTGAGCTGCTTCCTCTCTGCTCTCCAGAGCGATGGTTGCTCCGAGCTGCTCGACTTCAAGTGCCACTGCAAGAAGACCGAGCTCGTGAGCAGCATCACCCCTTGTGTTGAGAAGGCTTGCGAGTACAAGGACCGCATCTGTATGTTAACAACCTTACACTCTTCCCAATGATCCCACTTACTAACCCACGCATCCAGCGGTCTCCAACGCCGTCGTTAACCAGTGCTCTTCCGCCGGTGAACCCATCTCGATCCCTCCCATCGAGACCGGCGCTGAGACCACCACCGCTGCCGAGTCCACCAAGACTCCCACCGTCCCTGAGCCCACCACCGCCAAGCCCACCGAGTCTGCCAGCTCCAGCGAGGGTGAGAGCTCCACCACCTCTGCCGCCGGAACCACCACCGCCGCCGGTACCCCCATTGGCTCCTCCTCCGGTGTTGCCTCCTCCACCCCTCTGGTGACCAAGACTGGCGCCGCCCCCTCTTCCTCTTCCCCCGCCTTCAACGGCGCTGGCAGTGTCAAGGGCAACATGGCTGGTGTTGCTGCCCTCGCCGCCGCTGCCGCTTACGTCCTGTAAATATATCTATACCTAATCTGAGGTTGTTGCCGGTGGCTGTGACTGGCTCGTGTTGGCAGGTGGGATTTGCTTCCTTTTTTGCTAGCTGGGCTGGTTGTTCGAGACGCCTGAATAGGTCACCTCCCTGTATAGTTTGATAGTTTGACATGCTTAATACAATGCACGTCTTGTTTCTACCTCATGGGTGAAACGGATGTTTATGATTTGATCTTTCTGTGCCTCGTGGTTAAAGTTCGTAGGTATATACAGAAATGCGTATATTAATCGACAATGTAAAGAAAAGGGTTTGGTGTCACTATAAATCCAAGCTTCACGGGCATATCTTAGAGAAGCACTTAATACAGGGCTAATTGATAGACTTCTCACCTAGCAAAAGACTCTGAGGGTTGTGGGCTCTCTCGGTTATTGTTCAGATCGATAGATGTCATACGTTCAAACTGTGATGTGCCACTTTGAACAACGGCATAAGATGATGAATACAATACGAGAAAGTATATCAGAAAGAAAGATGATAGAGTGCAAGATTTCTGGATCCGAGCTATAGAATATAGAGGAACTGTATATAACCAATGCAAAACACAGGTAAATTCAAGAGGAAATGGGACATGGCGGTCAGCAGTGATTTGGGTATGACCCGCATATCCAGCCCAGTTGACAATGTGATATTGGAAGTACAGGCCGTGCATAATGACGAGATCCTACATCTCAGCATAAGATATCATAGCCTTAGGTATATGCAGTATATGCATAGTCAACCTTTATTCACATACCACAAAAAGGGTATGTTTCGCCGAATTCTTGTACCAAACACGACCCCACTTGAGATCATATTGTTTGTGACTTCTTTAACACTCTCGTCCTATTTTCTGCTGACAGCAGCGCTGGAGACTGAAGTTGTCGAAATAAACGGAGAGAAAATAAAACGTTCACTGGTCCGTTCAATGTTCTGAAAGCATCTGTAGATTCCATTTCTCATATTTTTGTCTGATTTTGCATCTTGTCATGCTTCCACGATCCTCGGAATTTATGCTGTACGTATGCCTGCGTTGGAATTGTTCCGTCATTTGTACTATTGGAGTGTCGCTGGCCCATCCCGAACCCATCGATTGGTAGTATCAGGATATCTCCCACAAGTCTCGGTTCCTTCAATCCACTCAAGTCGGTCAACGACAGAAGGTCCGGTTGATACTGCTGCAATTGTCGGAAGACGACATCTGTCCAAGCAGATGGCCCAGTCAGTTCCATGACTTCCGATGTATTAGCATGGAGCTCCGAGAACGTGGTTCCTCTTGCGATTGTGAAGTTTTGCAGGGCGGTCACAGCCCAGTCTACCATTTGGTCGAAGATAGGATGTCTAGGAGTTGCAGCAATGGTCCACTGGCAAAATTGCATATCGGGGTGAAGATCCTCGTCGAAAATAGATCCATTAAGGCGATCGAATTCAACCCCTAGAACGACTCGAGTATGTTCCTGATATTCTTCAGGCACCCACAAATCAATAGGCTTCAAGTTAATAGTATCGGTGTCTGTATAGACACCGCCTTTAACTGATAAAATCATGTACCTTAGCAGGTCAGACTTCATTCCGGTGTTCTTGAGTTCTCTAAAGATTCTCAAAAATGTTGGGTTTCCTTGAAAGTGCTGGTGCACGAGTGCTTCTGCTCCTTCATCTCCAACCAAGGTGTATTCGTAGTCGCGGTTATAGGCCAGCCAAGAGAGGGTCTCGGATAGCTGCTCAGGATTGGCTTCAAAATCGGCTATGCTGAGATTCGGCGGGGTGAGATATATTTGCCATATATTTCGTGGAAATAAAGAGGTCCAGGTCTGAGGTTGAAGCACTTGATTTGTTTGCTTGGTACTCGCGTTGGTCAGGGGATCGGAATGAGACCGGAGGGAATAACGAAGTAGGGCGGCCACCAGAAACAACCATAAGGCAATCAGTAGCCCGATTTTTAGCGCATGGTTCCGAAGCCTTGAAAACCGGCCAAAAATTTCAACGCGCACAAAAGACTGGAATAACGAGAACAATCGTTCTAGCGGCTCTTTGAACATTTTGCTCAATCGCTGTAGAGTGAGGTCATGGAGCACAAGATTGAGAGATGTGAAGATCACATACAGATTTGTTGCCAATTTTCTTCCCTCATGGGGCCATAATATGGATTCCCAGTACGGAGTCGGCTTGCCTCGAAGGGGGCTGAGACATAAATGTCGCCTACATAACTAGCCGGGCAGTAAGCTGCGTTAGTCAAGTGTGGGACCAAATTACGCCCAAGTCATAGCTTTTAGTATAGCTAAATAGCTTCATGGCGTATACTCAACAGATTTGAAAAGTGATGCTTTTGAACAGATGATCGGATCAGAAAAGACTGCTGTAACTTATGCTGAACATAATGTGAATTGGGATACCAAATTGGGAAAGTATCAATTAGGAAAGAAAGTGCGTGGGAGAGAGCGCTTAGCGTCTTCGTTAAATTAGCTGAACTAGCACTAATCGTGCCAAGCCCAGCACATACCTCGTGTTGGTGGACCTCTGTAAGATTCATTCGGGTTCGATGTGATGATATAACTTGTCTGAAACTGCCCAGGTGAGGCCAATATGGGTTACATAAAGCCAAGAGAGACTCTTGGAATAACTGCCATGGATGAGCTACTAGTCAACTGGCAACCCAGTCGGAACTTGCCGGAAGCCCGGAACGCGGAAGCCGATTTATCAATTAACTTGGCCAGTCAACCATCTAGGTTGACAGGTGTCAATATTCTTTAGTAAAGGTGCCGGATCCTTACCCTGTACACTGTTACTTACGGGAAGTGAGATATCTAAGAGCCGTTCACAATATTGATAGCCTTTCTCGAGTAGAAAGAACTCGTAGAATACGGGATTAGCTCCCGGTGATATATATTCTCTTGAGATGCTTAATTGCTAGTTTTAAATAACTCAAGATCTTAAATAAAGAATGAAGCATTTGATCAATTACTAGATGCATGTTCATAACACGAGACAAGAGAGTTAGGGTCGCTTTATTTCTCTAAAGGTTGAGGTCATTAGATATGACCTAGCATGGAAGAGTCTTACGATATATCCTCTAAGCTAAGAATCTCTCGAAACATATAACAATTGCATCGTACGAAATAATAATTAAAGTAAGTAGTCATAGGATTGGAGAAGACATACCCATAGAGAAACGAAGTCAAGTCTGCCCTTCATACCTCACGTTTGGCGGAAAGCTTGATGACGACGGGTGGCGCAAACAGGTAACAGGTACGTACCTCCAGGGCTATTAATATTCCTTTAGTCTTTCTGCTTTTTCATCTATTCCAACCTCCCATTTGAGGACTCGACATGGCATCCAACTCCAAATTTCGCGATCTACCCCGCGCCGCGGGGCCCTTGACCTGTCCATACAAGGTAAAACAAGTCCGCATTTTTCTTTTATATAGCTCCGATTCTCACACAGATTTAGGGACCAGCTCTCCTTGAAACATCTCAATTTAACAAAGGCTCCGCCTTTCCAGAACATGAGCGAACAACGTTCAAGCTCCATAGTCACCTCCCGCCAAATATCCAGACACTAGATGAGCAAGTTCAGCGCGCTTATCAGCAGTATCAAAGCAGACCAGATGATCTAGCCAAGAACACCTTCCTGGCTAGCATGAAGGCTCAGAATGAAGTGCTGTACTACAAGGTTCTGACATCCCGAGATAATATCAGCATATGCACTATTACTAACCAGTGAGTAGCTTGTGCAAACTCATCTCAAGGAGATGTTCAGTGTGATATACACACCCACTGAAGGAGATGCGATTGAGAATTACTCGCGATTATTTAGGAAGCCGGAGGGGTGTTTCTTAAATATCAATGACCAAGACGACTTTGATGAGTATCTCGCTGGGTTTGGGACTGAGGAAGACGTTGATTATATTGTTGTCAGTGATGGGGAAGAGGTAATTATATATTTGCTTGAAAGAGGAGTAGTGCATGATCTTGCTTACCATTGATTTGTTTGTAGATCTTGGGCATTGGGGACCAGGGTGTGGGCGCTATCCTCATATCGGTTGCCAAACTGGCGATCACTACACTCTGTGCTGGAATCCATCCTTCGCGACAGCTTCCAGTTGTGCTGGACTGCGGGACAGACGTAGCTATCCCTATTATCTGATTAAATCTTCGTTTGCTGACTCCGCGTATAGAACGAAAAGTTGCTCAGCGACAAGCTGTATCTAGGCCTCCCACAGCGCCGGGTCAGAGGGGAGAAGTACGATGAATTTGTGGACAAATTTGTCAAGGCTGCCAGCAAACAATTCCCAAGGGCTTACATTCACTTGTATGAGAAACCTTTCTTTCTCTGTTATTCGAAACACAGCTAAGAATACCAGCGAGGACTTCGGGCTCAATAATGCACGGAGAATACTCGATAGGTATCAGTCGCAGATACCCTGTTTCAATGACGACATCCAGGGCACGGGGTGTGTCACGCTCGCTGCTATGTTAGCTGCCCTTCAAGTCAGCCAGGTCAAACTTGAAGATGTGCGAGTGGTGATCTTCGGCTCGGGAACGGCCGGTATTGGCATTGCTGACCAAATTTCGGATACCATCGCCACCGAGACACGCAAGTCGAAAAATGAAGCATCCAAGCAGATATGGTATGTAACTGCCAGGCCGGGAGATAACACCCTTGCTAACACTGTTCTTTCATCTAGGTGCATCGACAAGCCCGGTCTCCTTATAAAGTCCCTCGGTGATAGTTTGACCGAAGGCCAGAAATCTTTCGCCCGAGACGACGACGAGTGGTTGGACAATGACCGAGATCTTCTGTCGGTCATCACAAAGGTCCATCCCCATGTACTTATCGGGACATCTACGAAACCCGGAGCATTCACCGAAGACATCATCCGTGAGATGGCCGACAATGTAGAACGACCAATTATATTCCCCCTCAGCAATCCGACACGACTTCACGAGGCGAGGCCAGATGATCTCTATAAATGGACCGATGGACGAGCCCTCGTTGCCACAGGCAGTCCATTCCCTCCAGTTACGCACAATGGCAAGGAATATGACATCGGTATGTATCAAATCTCGTCTCAGACATTGACTACTCAGTATATTAATGATATTTCAGCGGAATGCAACAACTCAACTTGCTTCCCGGGCATCGGTCTTGGTGCAGTCCTCTCGCAGTGCCGTCTCATGTCCAAGAAGATGCTAGTCGCTGCCGTGGAGGCACTCAAAGCGCGGTCACCAGCCCTGAAAGACCCTGCCAAGCCGTTGCTGCCTGATGTAGAAGATGCGCGTGAACTTAGTGTGGATATTGCGGCGGCTGTGATATCGTGTGCCGTGGAAGAGGGACTGGCACAGGCGGAAGGAATTCCCACCACTGACTCGGAGCTGCCAGAGTGGATTCGGGTCCAGATGTGGGAAGCTGAGTACCGGCCTCTAGTCTACGAGAATTAATACCACTGCTTCGCTGGCATGTATTGTGGTTTCGTTTACGGAATATTTTGCACATTTGTCTCTTTCACAACAATCATTGATCTTTCAGGTTCCGTCCAGTTATGATCCCATACCCAAGAAACACCGTGGTAGCTTCAATATGTGCGTAGCTAAATGATATTGGATGAGATACTAGGGAGAGCCCCCCTCTGTACATGGCACAATCACGTCGTCCTGTCTTACATATGAGAGTACCTGGACAACTCTTGCATTTGGATCTCGACCCGAACTTCTGCGGGCATGTTTTTTTTTTTGAACACTTGATACTATCTATAAATGAACGTATCCAATGAATGCTTCTGGATTTATCGTGATGTAAGCTAGCTCGGAATCGATCTCATAGATGTGTGCGGAGTACTAGCAAATAGGGAATTGCCGGTCTGAAAAATCACCATCTGTTGTATTGTACGAAGCAATGCAACCCTCTATAACCATTTATCAAACTGTTCAATACTATAGAACCTATGTGAGCTAAAGATAATAATAAATTCGAATCTAAAAAAACCGAACGATTGAAACAGATTGACTTATGGAACCCATAGACGCATAAATCCTACGACTTCCTGGCGACAAGTGACGCAGCTGCCGAAGTTGTTCATCGCGAGGCTCACGCGACAGTCCTCACAAATGCACAGACAGCGGCAGGGCCAGGTGATGATAGCCCGTGGGCTTGTCTGGCAGACCACACAGGGTGGACCATTAGGACCGAGGCCTGTTGCGCCTGATTCCCACGTGTGGGCATCGGAACTGCCCAAAGTTTCCGAGCGACGGGAAAGGATGAGCTTCTCGAGGAGTTCAGCTTCCTCTTCAGGAGTAGGTTTCCGGCACTCGGATCCTGAGTGCATGGCGTTGAGCTGCTGGAGGCGGGACGAAAAGATGATCCGAGATCTCTCCTGTTCAACTAGTTTCTGGTAGCGACTGCGCGTCATGATTTGTGCATTATCCTGATTTGTTTTGAGATGGGCAGCTAGGATCCTAGCTTCCTCTCTACTGTCGCGATCGCGAGGATCAAGAAGACGAGCGAGTGTGCTCATGTCGATCAGGGGATCTTGAAGGGGTGGGCTTGCTCTATCTGCATACGGTTCAAGCCGGGTAGGAGTCCGACGACCATCTTCCGATGGGTAATCCTCCCATTCCGACTGCGAGGCGTTGGTAGACATGGACACTACGCTTGTAGTGTCAAAGTCATCAGAAGGCGGAGAATAATCAGAAGTTTGATCTTGGTTTCCCCATGCACCGCCAATCTTCCACCAGCTGTACAGCCTGTCGCCTAACCGGCTTTCATCCGAGCTCATCCAGTCTGGGCGATTCGCGCGCTCTCGCTTCCTCATCTCGACCTCGACGTCAAAGTCATGGTCATCGGGGAGCTCAAGCTCTCCATTTTCAGAGAGGATCCAGAAATCTAACGGCTGTGATGGGTTCACCTTGCCGTCATTAGACTTCTCTCCACGGTGACCCACAATGCGTTTCAGCCACATTGGCCGAGCGCTTATTCTCAGTCGATCAAGCACGTTATTGAGCCCGTATGCAAGCCAACGGAGCATTATGAGAGAGATTGCGCGGAAGAACGAAAGTACATGCCATAATCTGATAGATACTCGCACTGCGCCAACTCCCCCAAGCTCAGCTCGAGATTGCACGGCTCGAGCACCGTTCTTGGGGTTCTCAACCTTCTTTTCGCGATTGTAACCACTTTCCCAAGCAGATTGTTCTGGCATATCGAAACTCGAGAAACCCATAGCTTCGATAGGTCGACTGCTGGGTTCGCTAGGTTCGCTCTGCCAATTGCCATAAGATGAAGACTTCCGCCTCGAAGCTTCAATCTCTGACAGGCGATCTTCTTCTAGCCATGTCATCCGCCGTGCGACAACTGCTTTGCCCTCGTTCAAGAACACAGCCTCACTTGCCGCGGTTAGTGCAACATAGCCGATTCGAAGCAACGTCGTATAAAAGTCTTCGTGTCTGTTTATACGGATGCTCCTTATCTGGTTTGATCCTTGCATATTCTCGTGGGCCATCAAGAAACGGTCATAGAGTGAGACAGGTCGATCTTCTGAGGGTAGCGAAACAGCGGTGATGGTAAGTGCCAAAGTGTATATTGAGAGACAAATCACAATGCCGCCCAATAAGAAGATATGAGGGATGAATCCCACAATGCAGACAGTCGGGAACCTGAGCACGCCGGTTTCGAGGCTCACGGGTGGACCGCCTTCTAACCCCCACGACATGGCTACCATGAAGCAGGCACCCCAAAAGGCGGTGCTGAAAAGTCGATATTTGCTCTGCTTCCCGAAGACTTCTAGTATATGGGAGGTAGCACTATTGCAGCACGAGATCAATGCGATAAGTAACAATTCGGGGGTGACATTCATGCGTTCCAAGATTTGCGATCTTGTGAGTAGTTCAAAGACCGAAGTTGAACTGTCATCAGACCCACCCGAAAGCGCACTGAGGGGACTTTGTTTGGGAAGACCGAACAGGCCTAGTCCGATGGACTTACTGATCATCGACTCGGCTTCTGCGAAGGCGATTGAGTGTTCGAAGATGGACATCCCCGTCTCGGTCATCACGGGCCTGCCTTGTAATGCGCACGAGAGTGTTTCAATAAAGTGACTCAAGCAAAGGAGCATGAATGTCGGCCAGAGTAAGGAGAACGATCCATATGGGATACCGGGATTGGTTCCGCGCGCCATCTTCACAGCACTGCACGACCGTTCATCAGACTCCCATCCCAAAAGGGTTGAGCTAATCGAGTAAAGAGCACCCCCGTCACTGGAATAGTCGAACACGAGTTGCCTTCCAGGATATCCGTAGCGCATTGTCGAAAAAGAGGGTGATGTCTGACATCGGATTCCACGGAGCAAGCTGAGGATTTGGGACGCGAAGAGAATGATAGGAATTAATCGGAGAGCCGCACGCCTTTCCCAGCCAAGTCGAAGGTGTCGCCGTGTAGATGCATAGATAGTAATTCGGTTGAGGATCAGCGCCTAGACCTATCAGCATGGTAAGTATACAAGTCGAGAGCGGGGTCTCACCTCTACCAGACAGGCAAATGACCAAAGACTTGTCAGATACCCAAAGAATCCACCAAGCTTCTTCATAGCGCCCAAGAACTCAGCAATGTAGTAGCCACTCTCCTGGCCGGCTACATCGGCTAACTCAGTTCCGGCCATATCTGCTGCATGTGTAGCGGCCGTACCACTGGCTCCAGCTGCTGAACCAGCCTCGCTCCAAATGTTTTGCCCCAGGGCTTGAATTCCGGTTATTCTAGCGATAGTTTGGGGAACCGTTCGGAGGGCAAAGGTCTCGGCGTGTTGAAAGGCGCGAAGGGGGGAGGTCAAGAGTTGATGCGGTAAAGAGGATAAGGAAGAAGTTTTTGGCGACAAGGTTGTATTCAAATGTTGCAACAAAGCCGTGCTAGATGTGGTTGGTATTGTGGAGGGTTCCACGATGCCTGACATGTTAAGTCGGTGTTGTATGCGCCTCTGCGGGTAAGCCTTATCAGTGATCCGGGGCAGATGCAATCGACACGGAGGGCCGCCAGTGCATCCGACTGTGGGTATAGGAAAATAAGGATATTTAATAATTAGATGTGACTAGACCGAAGACCACAGTGAGCAATGCTCCTGTGAACTGCATCCCGCAAATCAAAATGTATGAAAGAATGATCTTCACAATGGCGGGCAGTTCCTTGGAAGTTGGCACCGGTGGAGCCAGGGCCCGTCAATATTTGCTGACTCAGCCACCGGAATCTCCAGCCTCCTCAGCCTTCAGCTCCAAGTTGATACTCCGTACGAAGTACACTCTGGTCATCTTAATTATATAGGCTTCTACATCATGGATATGATTTCCTGGTTCAATTTGTCTCCTATGATCCAAACCCTTTGCCAGTGATAGTCTAGACAAGCGTGTTATCATGGGAAGTATTGATCTGCCATCATCTTTAGACAAATTCGGCCATAGATGTATTAACCGTTTGCATATGCTCAGATGGGATAAGAGGTCTCCTGCAGAATTGAGGATACTGCTACATCAAAAAAAAGGAAAATATGTATTTGCATAAAGTTACATATATTCTATCCCATAGAATACATATCATGACATAACGCCATGACCAAGCCTGTGTAAGCTAGTCCGGAACTCCCCATGGTATTGTCATAAAAATCGAATGTCGTATGTCATTGCGCCATGAACCATTGCAAAAATGACGTGAGCTGAAGCAAGAGTAACCGCTACCTGGGGTCTCGGTGAGAAAGGTGATGGGAAACTCAAGGTCAAAGGCACCACGTGCAAATCAAGTATCCAAGAAATCGGCAGCCATCAGGAGCTCCAGACATAACTCGGGTGGAATATCCATGTCAGGCACGTTGACCTGGTCCTTGTGCTTTTCATTGTAACAGAAGTATTCGCAAATCTTTTCGACAACGATGCCACTAGAGTGAAACAAAAATTCGTTAGCAACGTCTATCAAACAGAGACGTGTAAGCACGCGACGTACGAGAATTCCTCCAATACACAGCGACCGGTGAGACCCTCAGGGAATTTGCCTGTAGGTAATTAGTACAGCCCGTGCAGCAATGGAACTCGAGTCCACATACTCGAAGGGTCCAGCATGCGCCGGATGGTGCCTGAGACACAAGCTGCGCTGCGGGGGATAATGAATTCAAATCCGTCGTTTGAGACTATAGTCACAAACTCGGAATCTGTCGATGGCGCCATCATGAAGCACGCGTCGCGTAGATGTAGGAAGTGACCGCTGTGGAGCGAAAGATCCTTCTGAGGTTGGCGTGTTGGTCCGTGCTGAAGCTGCCCCCAATGACGCACCCGATTCTCCCGATATCGCGTTTTGCTTGGACTTCAGGCAGGGTAAAAACAATATGAGCAGTCTGAGAGTGCCTCTGATTCGCTTGCGAGTGCCAATCCTATCACTTCAGGACTCATCAAGGCTGATCAATTTACGCAATGTAGGCTACGCCAGCAGCCGAGTATTAAGTCATTTGGGACATACAACGCGATCATACTTATCTCAACCAAATGAAAAACATCCCATTTCATTTCATCCTGGAAACCGACTTTCCGGCCGAAAATGCATGATCACCGGTGGGACATCCGGCATCGGCTTTGCCATTGCCGAACGATTTCTACAAGAAGGCGCATCGACCATAGTCCTCGTCGGCCGATCTCAAACACGCCTAGAGGAAGCAGCCACAAAGCTTGGGTCCCTCGCAGTTACACCACCAGATCTTGATGAAAGCGATGCTGAACTTGCAACTCGGACCTCAGAAGAAGATAACCAGCAAAGCACGCAAGGAAGGATTCGTGTACTTGTCGGAGATGTCTCAGACGCCGGGTCATGGATGCGTGAACTCGAAAAGGAAATGGTTAGCTACCTTGTCTATGTCTACAAATCCTCCCCTCCTAACCATCATGCAGGCCAATGTAGACGTCCTAGTCAATGCTGCAGGAATTTCGATATCAAACATTCTGCCAAGATCCGAGCTGGAAGATATCTCTACCATCCTACGTACTAATCTCGAAGGCGCAATACTCACTTCGCGCGCATTAATGCGTGCCTCTATCCGGAGCCGGATACGGAATCGGAGTGATCCAGCTGCGGGGACTAAGCCCCCCTCGAAATGCATTATTAACGTCTCCTCTTTACTCGCCCTCAAGGGCGGGACTGGCGCAGTTCCATATGCTGCTTCCAAAGCTGGCCTTCTAGGTCTGACCCGGTCATTGACTGTTGAGGCGTCGGCTTCGATGAAAGATATTGTCATTCGGTCGAATGCTATTGTGCCAGGGTATATTGATACACCCATGATTGCAGGTATGTTGGTCTGGGAATTCTATATTTGCTCGTGCATCGACTGATATCAATACTAGACTTCACACCCGGGGAAATGAGCAGGCTGAAAGATCTCATTCCTCTTCATCGATTTGGAGATCCGCGCGAGATTGCTGATGCAGCTGTGTTCTTGGCACAGAATGAATATGCCAACAATTGTGTGCTCAATCTGGATGGTGGAATGAGTGCCGTTTGATTCGATCCGAGCGAGAAATCTAATACCAAATGAAAAATTTGTATTTGTAAAGAAACCCTACCCTACAATATCAGAGCAGGGATTTCATCAATACTGATTTGCATACTATAAACTAAACATTGCTGTCGTACAATCTTCTATATGTCACAACACTCAAACAGCCGTAACAAATATTTCATCGACCACCAAACCAGTTGATCCACCATTGATCTTGACAGATGCGCTGGTAACTTTGCCACTTTGCGCCGCAGAATCCAAAGTGACAGATTCTCCATCCACCGTGGCGGTCGAAGCATTGTCCGAGAAAGCGATTTCCAGGATCTGCCACTCCCCTTCTCTGTAAGGTGTACCCGCAGCAAACTTCACAGTAGCAGACTTGGAAACACCCTGGATTTCCACTGATGGCAATGTGCCAGTACCAGCCGGAGTCCAGACTCTCACATTAAGGCGGAACGGAACAGTGAGAGAGATAGGTCTGGTAATTGAAACGCCAGAAGCGAGCGAAAGCGATTTACCTAGCCCACCCGATGGGTCTGCCACAATGGAGGCGGTTCCCGTGGCAGTCCAGCCGGCTAGACTCGAGTCATCGAAGCGACTAATCCACGCCGGAGACTTTGTTCCAGCACCAGAGTAGAATCCCCGATTTGCGTGCCCGCTTGTGGGGTTATTGAAGAAATCCAAGTCCGCATCACCTGGTACAACAGTTGCAGAATCCAAAGTGGGATAACCGGTCAAGAGTTGATATGCCTTGGGATCCCTCAATCCAGGAGCGGCTAGACCTGGCGCCTCAGTGAGCGAATTGGTAGCACCGGAGTAAGTGTTGATAGAGCCATAGAATGCATTGTTGTTCACAATAAAGTTGGCATCACTCAACTCCCACTTAGCCGCACCAGAGCCATCTTTCTTGAAGATGTTGTTGGTAAGTTGGACATCGAGGGTTGCGGTTGTGGCTTCTGTGACAATATAGGGCGAGAGACCATCTCCAATATAAACGGTGTTTTTGTAGATCTTTCCACCAACGAGACCTCCGTCGCAAACTTGGAAGATTCTTGTCCGGTCATTGACGGACAGGTTGTATCTGATAGTGAAATTTCGAGATGGCTTATCGTAAGGGCAAAACAAGAAAAATCCACCCTCATTGTCGTGGGATACATTGTATTCGAAAAGAGTACCCGAGGTTGAATGGTCCACATCATAAGCCATTCCTAATCATGAGTTAGCTTGACCTAGTCAATAAATAGGAGCTAGAACACATACCATCAAGCGTCGACTTGCCACCTGAGACGGTGTTGTAACGGAAGACAGACCCAACACTGTTTGCGGTCCATAGCCCCGCGTTGTAGGATTCGGAGCGGCGATTGAAACCAACAAGAGTGTTCTTAAGAACCTCAGCATCATTGTTTCCCGTGATAACGATTCCATCTCCACCAATATCGTACAGACGATTCCGTTGAATAACCAATCCAGAGGACGCCGCCCATGGCTTGAGGCACAGAGTATTCCAGAAAGCGGCAAGCTCCTCTCTCTGGCACCAATTGCTCCAGGTGTAAATTCCCTGCCGATCCACCGAGCGGATCTCATTATCTTGAATGAGAAGGCCATCAAAATAGGTTGGAGTTTTTGAGCCGGCGGCCTCAATCACAATGCCACCAGAAGCATTCGCGTACTTCCCCGTAGCAATGCCGGTGGTTGTTGTTGAGGGCATCCAACCTCGTACATCGTGAATGTACAGACGTTGTAGTGTAATGTCCTGGACTCGGCCAGCATCGGCCGCATACACATACACACCACGGCGGGGTGTTTTATTGTCTCCTGGATTGGTGATGTTGAGATCTTGGACAGTGACAAAGGAAGCTCCTTGAATCAGAACTGAGTTTAAGGTGGTACCTGCGCCAACAATCGGCTTCGACTGCGAGGCATCTCCATAGGCACTGACTGTGATAACTGACCCCGCGGATCCACTTTTGTTAAGCACCAGGGGGCCGGCGAAAGAGGTACCTCGTTTGAGTAGAATTTTATCGCCGGCAGAGAGTGACAGATTCGGGATCGAAGTCAAGGTATTATATGGATTTGATTGAGTGCCATCTCCGTTGTTGGTAGCAGAACCATCAAAATAATAGCTACTGCTTGCCAGGCAAAGTGGAAGAAGTGCGAGATAGTGCGTGAGCTTCATGTCGGATACACTCAAATTTGGGAGGATTTTCAAGTATATTCAAGTATAGTAGGGCCTAGTTTCCTTTTAAATAGCTTACAATGAGATGACGAGATACGAATGGAAGATTGCGCTTTTCATTATATTGGGCTACCAATTTATATAGATTGTGTACGGAGTAGATCGATATCTTCTCTATTAGACTTTCATCGAGGCGATATCCGGGTCTCCACGTGTTTCTCCGCAAAGGTTCCTGTTCTTCATAAGATTTACGGGGTATTGCACAATATATGACGTGCTCTCGGATCTCGCTTCGAGTTAAGCGAGCCGACCTGTAGAGAAGTTTTAGTTCGCCTAATACTGTTATTTGGTCATAGTTATTCTACTCATCTATCAACGCTAGCAGTTGAGATATAAAATCCCCATAATGCATTATCATGTCCATATCCAAAGCATGTCAACCTGGGATTTTGAACTTCCCTCCCAAGGTTGACTAAAAACAGGTTCGCCTTTATGCCATATGATACAGAAGGTTTAAAGGGAGCAAAGACGCAAAAAAAGAGGGGGGGGGGAAACTGAAATACGAAGAATGACATCAAGATAAAACACCTGTGAAGGTCGACGTGAAACCAAGCCTGTTTTCAGCATTTAGTCATCGATCATGATGGCACCTCCCTCATCATCATCAAGAACGATAGCTTCAATGCCCTTTGAGTCAGGAATCGATGCACTGGCGAGCCGCTTGGCATCGTGGCTGCTGTCGTCGCTTGAGCCCTCGCGCTTACGCTTCCCAGTCACAGTTGCATCATCGGTTGCTGGAATATCAGGAGAAGGCTGTGCGGGCTTCGCGGGCTTTAGGGGTATCTCGACCATCTTCTGCAGCGTTGCGGGCTTGGATTCCTTGGAAGATGGCGTAGTTCTGCAAATCAATCAGTTAATAGTGCCCCTTACTTTTGAAAGGACGGGGCGTACCGTGCCACAATCACCAGCTCGAGATTGACTCGTGTATCTGGCTCGTTCTCATCTTGTATCGTGATGAAGCTCTCATTCTTAATGCCTAAGTCCGACAACTTCTTCGTCAGATTGTCGGTGAAATCGGGGTCGTAGATCAGTTGATTGTTAAAAGCAACGGAAATCTCTTCGTCGTAACCAAGCTCCTTCTGAAGAACGCCTTGGATGAGGTCTTCAAGTGTTGCTAGCTCAGAGTCGATTTCGACCCGAGCCACCACAGGGGAACAGACGGCGCAATCGGGGTTTGGGGGGTTCAATGAGTCTGAATTGATCACGCGAGCACCGGATCTTTCTAGGAAGACCTTTCAGAGCGATGGCTTGTTAGCTTTGGTAGTAGTGGGCACCCTTGTTCAATTCTTACCATTTTGGCATGCATCAAGTTGTTTTGAAACACCTTCAATGACTGAAGAACACATAGTCCAGCCGTCATGGCATTGGTGGTTGCAATGGCAGGAATGATATTGCCCGCCATCTCTGTAGAAACTTTGTCAGTAATAATCGTTTTGTAATGCGTACCCTTATTTGATAAACTCACGTTTGACATCGAACTTGGACTTCAGTTCAACGTGGAAATTAGCAGCTCGCAGATTAGCTGCTGCAGTAACGAAGTCTAAAGTGTCCACATCATCTTTATCGAATGTCAGGATTGGAGAGTCTTGGTCTGGGGTATTGTTTTCTTGAAGTTGCTTCAGGCGATGGGTCAACCGGTTCAAGCTATAGCATGTTAGTTTATCGAACGTACGCTGTCAGCGACAAACAGGACCTACCTATCTCCGAAAACCCTGAAATTCTCCTCCAATGTCCACACTTTCTGGTCGTTCGTGGAGATCGTCGAGGCGATCGAAACAGATCTATCTTGGAGTGAAGCAAAGTCAAGGGGCTCTGGTTGCTTCCTTTCCTTCCATATTTCCTTCATGCCCTGTAATCGCATCATGTCCCTTCGAAACACTTTATCAAAGACCTTCTGGGGGGCTTCTTCGGTCCCAATCGATTGTCGCAGCTCTTTGAGCTCCAGTGCTTCCTTGCGCAGTTCCGCAATTTCGTCTGCTAGCTGGATGTTAGTCTCATGGCCGAGTTGTAGATGAAATTGAATTTACCATTCTCTGCGTTTTCTGTCTTGTCCACCTCCGATGCCTCGTCTTCGCTATCGCCGAAAAGTTCCCTACTCAAAGGTGAGCATTCAAATCGGACAGAGTAAAGGCCGGATCTTACGGCAAGAGGAAGCTTTTCGCCCAAACGATGCAATGAATCGGCTGGCTGGGGCTGCTGCGGATCGTGCACACGGGGAACGACTTGGGGGTTTGTTTCGGGGTGCAATCATAACACTCAGTTTGGGACTAGTATAATGTATAGTCAATAAATGCACAATTTGCAGAGCAAGATATCGCTTTTGCTGCATACCTTTTGAATGACTTGAACCTGGCCATTGAAGCCCGTAGTTCCACTTTCGATCAAGGGTACATTGGCTGCAAGGCACATCTTGTTCACATGACGTCGTGCGGCGATATTGTCCAGCGCATTAAACACGACGTTAAAGGACTCGAACCACGAGACGTTAAACTGGGCATCCATAATGTTCGCATGGTAGGCCTCAAGCTTTGCGTCGGACCGGAACTTTTGCGCAACATCCTTGGCAACCTAATGAAAGTATCCATATCTCAGTATTCCATATCTCCTATCGCTGAACGGCTCGTACAATGCGAAGGCGCGGCGCTTGACTCCGGGGGGAGGGGATTGGCAAGGGAGCGGCGCAAATGCGCGGGGCGGGTCGATTGGACGTACTAAGGCCTTTGATTTCTTGATATGCTCATGTCGGAAAAGGAACTGACGATTTAGA